GCTGCCTGCCCACAGCCCTCCTGGAGCCCCGGGAGGCGGCGTGCGATCTGCCGGGGAAGGCTCGAGTCAAAAGAGGTTTTTTAATTGAATCCCGAGCCAGCGGAACGAATGCACATCTGCTCTGCGGATGAGGCATGCGGCATATTTAAACTCGTTTGGATGCCATGTCTGTTAGTTCAGAGTTTCCACATGCTTCCAGAGGAAAAGTGAGGTGGGGAATGCTCTGCAGCCGCCGGGATTCACCTCGCAGAGAGATGCCCTGGGCTCTGAGCAGCCAGGAAGGGGGGGATCCCTGCGAGCTGGGGGGTGGCAGGTTGTCATCCCAGCCTGACTAACGATCTCTTCTGTTTTTGCAGCTGTTTGCAGACAAGGTTCCCAAGACAGCAGGTTGGTAAAGCAGCACTGGCCACACTGTGGCTGCACCAAATTCTGATGCTCTTCCTAACTCTGGACAAAATGAGCTGTTCACAGCGGTTTTTCTCTTCCTTTGCAGAAAACTTCCGTGCCTTGAGCACTGGCGAGAAGGGATTTGCCTACAAGGGGTCCTGCTTCCACAGAATCATTCCTGGATTCATGTGCCAGGTGCGTGGTGCTCCCACTGCAGCAGGGAGGTGGGCGGGCGAGGAGATGAGGCACTTGGGTAGGTTTTGGAGTTGGGTGCTGGCAGATTTGGGGTGAGAAGGCAGCTCTGCCTGCAGTGTCTTTCAGGCCACTGCGTCTGGTTTGAGAGTCTTCTCCTGGGCCCATGACCTGGAATGCTGCTGCTTTGCAGGGTGGTGACTTCACGCGCCACAACGGCACTGGCGGCAAATCCATCTATGGGGAGAAGTTCCCTGATGAGAACTTCATCCTGAAGCACACGGGCCCTGGCATCCTGTCCATGGCCAATGCTGGCCCCAACACAAATGGCTCCCAGTTCTTCATCTGCACCGCCCAGTTCTTCACCTGCACTGCCAAGGCCGAATGGTGAGTTGGGGGCTGTGGGAGGGTGAGTTCGGGGGTCCCCAGCACCCACCCTGGTGGGGAGGTGATACCTGAGGCCAGGCCCGTGCCAGGGTCCCCATGTAGTGACAACAGGTACCAGCTGTGGCGGGTGTTTCTCCTGCAGGTTGGATGGCAAGCATGTCGTCTTCGGCCGCGTCAAGGAGGGGATGAACGTGGTGGAGGCCATGGAGCGCTGTGGCTCCAAAGATGGCAAAACAAGCAAGAAGATCACCATTACCGACTGCGGGCAGCTCTCATAAACCCTTCTCTTAACAACT